CCCCTTTGCTGCTTTGACAGGCTGCTGCTTGGATCAAGGGTCTGGTAAGGGATTTTAGGGGGGCCCTACGCATTTTGTTTGGCATTGAGGTCCCCCCTAAAATTCCTACCAGACCTAAAGGGAAAGAAAGGGGACAGCAGGCACTGCAAACATTGTGCAACAGAGCAGCCATGCCACTCTGCTTCCCCCCCTACCCCCACATGATCCAAAGAGATGCTGCCTGAGTCTAATTATAGCGGCAGCCCTTATATATCCCATAGTTAATAATTGTATCCAGGAGGTGGCAAGCTCCAAACCAGAATCAGTAAAACAGTCTTGATCAGCATGAGAGATCAGATTATACAGACTGCTAAATAACTCAAATGAGACAGACACTTTATGCATCTCTCCTAGCAGAAATGGGACCATCTAGCCTAGTCATTTATACAAAGGTTGCCTCTAAGCATGCATTTCAGGGATGCACTATGTGGTCAATATTTGCTTGTAATAAATACAACATCAGATGTATTAACATCGCATTGCAAAGTTGTAAATTAAAAAAAAATTAAAAATTAAAAATTATGTATTTATATATTTACATGAATCAAAATCCAACTACATTTCCCTCTACCCATAATCAGATTTAGAATGTGAACGTATCCCTTGTTAATTGTTATAAGGATATTAAACTTTTATCATTCAGAAGATGATATTCATTGTATCCATTGTAGAATACTGAGTTAAGTGTCCTCATGGTGTGGAATGCACATGGGCCTTGGTAATTATCCGGAACAAGCGGAGGTAGCCACTATGGACTGTAATTAGGATGGAGAGGGGGTGATATTGTTTACCTGTATACATCTTATATAAAGGACAGGCAGTGTATGCAGCACAGGGGAGATGGACAGAATGAGGTAGGTGCATAGGAAGATATTCTATTGCTCTGTATGGAGAAACACTATTACCAGTAGCAGAGTGCAGCCACACTCACATCAAGGGCAGATTCACACTATAGTGCTGCGCTAAACAGATGCAGCCTGTGCATTTAACGCATTCAATCACACAGCACAGTGCATCACTAGCTAGGCGTGCTGGCGTGTTGCATTGAGATTTTTTTTGAAAGTCACCCCAATGCACCTCCCAGCAGGAGTGTGTTGCAATGCACAGGACAACAATACAATGTGCAAAACAAAATGCATACAATTTATTTATTTTTTACCACACAGCCCTGCAACACACTCTATTGTGGTACCGTTGCTTTAGGGCGCCATTTAGAATGAATGGCAATGCAATGCACCAGAACACCCAGCAGTCAGGGCATTGCATTGTGCGATAACCTGCTCTAAGTACACAGACTTTGTGCCTTTAGTGCAGTTACCTTTATACATCTTTTATAAAGGGCAGGCAGTGTATGCAGCACAGGGGAGATGGACAGAATGAGGTAGGTGCATAGGATGTTATTCTATTACTCTGTATGGGGAAACACTGTTACCAGCAGCCGGTGTGCAGAGTGCAGCCACACTCACATCAAGGGGGGATTATATGGTGCTGCGCTAAAGACACGGTACCTGTGTGTTTAGGGCGCGCTATCGCACAGCACAATGCGCCACATGCCCAAGCAGGAGGTTGTTGCAATGCGCTGCAGTGCATGATGCCGCAATCATCCTATAGACATCACAATGACAAGCTTGTGCTGTGTAAAATGTATCTCATTGTAGTTACTGGGACAGTAAAGTCTGCAGATTTCTACTCCCAGACCGCTGTCAGCAGATGATCTTCTTATGCAGGTAAAGGTGTGGGGGTCAGAAAAAAGATTGTTGTTGCGCCAAATAATAATTTGAATGGAAGGGGTGGGAAAGGACGATACAACCAGTGCACCTAAAAAAATCCTGTGTGACTTTCATTTTGCTGCCTTGCAATCTGCACCAAACAATGGTTCATAAAATGAGTTTGTTAATATTTGGCGCAATGGAGGAGTGCAGTGTTGCGGCAAGAGG